GGTCCGAAGTTCGAATCCCGCAAACGGGCTGGCTGCATGGGTTTTTTCGTGGTTTTCCCCATGCGTAACGTGTATACGAGCCAGTTTCCCTTGGAAAGTCCTCCACGAAGGCATCCCTCCCCTTAGGCAGATAGCCCTAGTGTGCTTTGCTATAATTAAATACACCACTTTATTGGAGACTGTTTCCCCGTAAACTTATTAAGCATAATTATATATTCAGCTAAATATCTTTAGAGACTTTTGTAGAGAAAAGTCCTTGGGTATTGAAAATTCCTATTCCCCATAACCTACCTAGAGTGTTTTCATTTTAGGACTGGCGATGACTGTTTGCAAAGACATCTCCATTGTATATACTTGGCGACATCTTATGTGGCCTAGCTGACGTAATTTATTTATTTTGATTTTAATGATGCTGCAGATAGTAATTCTGCGGAAGCTGTTAACTTTTTGCTTGTTTTTACACCTCTGGTCCGACAGAGACTAATGTTTGAAAAGCTGAGGGTTACGCATGGAAAGCTAATTTAATCATTAAGTCAAATAAGCATATGCTTAAAATGTCATGGAAAAGGGGCACCACAAAAAGTATGCTTAGGGACTACGGAAAGGATATGCCATAAAAATTTCGCATTGTTGTTTTTACCATGGAATGTATGATGCACTTAAACCAAACTGAGACCAGTTGATAATAAAATGGAAAAAAAAAAAAAAAAAAAAAATGAAAAAAAATGAGAGGGGGGTGAATGAATGTGAGGGCACCAAAATCTGTTAAGTATTTAGAGCCTCTAAAAGTCCTAATCCAGCTTTCGATACAAGGTCACCTAAAGTGCGTTTTTTAGGTTGGTGCTTGAAGATAAAATTGCCAATAAGAAGAAACTTACAGTTTTTGATGTAGTGAACAACTACTAAATCTTAGAATCGAATTAAAAGTCTCATGTTTAGAAAAATTATACCTAATATTTCGAGGTAGGAAAGTTTCACTGGCAAAATGACTACAGCAATGGTGTCAACCTCAGATTGCTTACAAGACGCATGCACAATCTAGAAACAACTGAGGAGCCAGTTTCTTTTTTAATGAAAATCTTTATTCACAAAATTAAAAATACATAAATTAATTTTGAATTTCGCTCACTAAATATTTATGAAAATGTGACATATACAGTAATACTATACTAATAATAATAAACATAAAGGAAAAAATAATTTCTATTTATTTTCTATTTGAAATCTAAAGTTAAGTACTGTGAGAGGTATTTGTTGTTTATATTTTGTAATTCAAAATTACTGGAAGCTAAATATTAAATTCTTAGACTGACATTCCTTTCAAATAATTCTAGCAAGTTTAATTAAGTATTAAATAATTTACTTAAATTTAAACTAAAATTAAACAAATTATGAAAACTTTCTAAATTTTCATAGAAAACTTTTCACTTAAGAATAAATAATGACAATTTAATTTCTTTCCCTTATTTATAAAATTTTTCTTCATCGCATACTTATGTTTGCATGCAAATAATTATGATTTCTTTATTTCTTACTATAGCTTGACACTTGATGGTATTAGAATCTGGTGAAGTTTGTAGTTTTGGAGAGAAATTACTGGAAATTCTCTTCATCATGGATTGTAGATGCCAATCACTCATACGGGTTCTTTTCTTATCAATTTTCAACCATGAAAAAATGCTGTTCGCATATAAATGTAGTCGCAAACAAAATGATTATTCTTAGTGCAAAAGTTCCTAGCTGAGCTTATTTAATAAATGTTAATGAAATCTATGTGTTGAAAGCCTTGAATAAGATTTTTATCATACTATAATTTAATTAACTGCATTTATAGATTTTCTGGCGTGTTGTTCACGCTCGTCTTCCAAATAATATAAATTCCAAATAATATAAATAATTATTTGGATTTCAACAAATCCAAATAATATAAATTCGAACTTCAAGTAATTAAAATCTTGAAATCTTCGTAATACCGTATTTTTAACAAATATATAATATAATTGAAATATCTTCGCTGGCCGCATAAAATTGCTTAGGGGGCCGCAAGCAGCTTTCAGGCCGTCAGTTTGAGACACTTGTCCAACAGTATGGGCTTTATTGAAATTAACAAATTAGATTTCTTTCTTTACTTGAAATGTGTGTTCTCGAGAGCCTAGAGAAACTGGTTACGATCCACATCTAGAAGTACGGATAAAGAAGTCCAAAAACCGATGATGGCAAGATTTCATCAGACTAGACGTTCAGAAGCAGCTAGTAGAAGATTGCGTCTTAAGATAATTCTGATAAATAATGAAGGTGGTTATATAGTGGAATGTTGAAATATGAACACAAAACACAAGTTTCTCGACAATGTGTGCAAATACATAATGCATATTGCTAACTGAATTTTTTGACATCATAGTTTTGAAATTGTTGCTGAAAAATCAACACCTGTCTCATCGAATGATAAGCAGCTGATGATCTTACAAAACTTATAAAACTGTTGCAGAAGATTTTTGAAAAACAAAATATGTGTTCTCGTTTTATCCCTCCCACATTAATTGCATTCAGAACATGAAGTAGATCAATTTCGGCATCTCATGATTTGATGGCAGATATCGATCTTGATTTTTTTCAAACAAATTGCGACCTAAGAAGAGGCTTCGTGTGTTTTCCTCTGCTCTACAATAGCGTACGAGTCGTAGGGAGAGAAGGGCTGTGCGCCCCTGACGCCATTTGTCATATGAAACGTTACTTTATACGGTTTAATCATGTGGATAATTGAGGCAAGGGAAGAATAATAAGATACCTAATTGGCATATGAAATTATATCGAGAAAAAATACTTTTTTACACTATTTACGCAAAGTATTTAAAGAAATCACTGCAGGATTTAATCAGCTACACACTTTTGTTGTACCTTCTATAAGCTATCGAAACTTTTGAATGAAAAATACGAATATCAACTAAATTATGATCGTGATGACATTAATAAGGAGGAGTTCTTCGTTAAGAGAGAAATACTTCAGGGTTATTTTCCCGTTATTGCTAGGGAAAACGAAACAGGGACGTGGATGGGCGGTTCTTTTGAACTTTTTGTGCAGTTTATTCTAAAATACAATATTGTAATACTACTGTGAAGTTTCCAAACAATTGCTGTACGTGTTGGCAGTTGTAAAAGAATGTCCTAAATATAAAAGTATATAAAAGCATATTTTGCAGTTTAGAAATCTTTCTGTACTGTCTACATAATAGCAATTGGAGCAATGAAATAGACCTCTATAGTATCAACTATGGTTTCGCAAACAGGAAAACAAGCGAAATAATATAATTTTAAAATAAGGGAAATAAAATTTTACTTCAGAAATAAACACAGACTATTATTTCTCTGTATGGAATTTTGTAACTATTTGCTTGTGCATCGGGAGAGGCGGCAGATTTAAAGACGGCCCCATGTGGCAAACTCAGAGATCGCTCCGGTAAAATCCTGTCGCTATGCCACTGATTGGAGGAAGTTCACCACCATTGAAGTTTCAGAAATCTTGAGTAAAGGTCGTGCTGGTGATCTTATTTGATAGGAAAGGAATAGTTTACACGGAATTCGTTCCCGAGAAACAGATAGTAAATTCCATATTTTACAAAGCCATCACGGCAAGGCAGACATCACAGCCGAGTGCCCCGTCAGCAGTCACGGAATTATCACTGGCAAAAAATCTAATGTGGGGGCCTGGGTTAGGGAGAGACTTTTGCATATAATTCAATGTTTACAATCAAATAACTATTTCCTACTGCAAGGTTATATGCCGTCACATAATTAAATATCGTCAAACAGTTTCTAACAAAGAAAAGTATCACAATTCTCCATCTCCACTTTTTCCCAGATATGGCATCTGTAATCTACCTCCACCCAACTGAAGTCTCAGTTCAGAGGATATTATTTTAATATCACCGAAAAGATCCAAGAAACCGTAATCACAGACTTTAACTGCATATTAAAAGAAGTTCTATGGAGGAATCAAACAGCTGGTTATTGTATAGACTTACAAGGATTGTATATTGAGGGCTAAAAAGTGAAAATATTGAACATGCCAAGGAATGTATAGACATACAAGGATTGGATATTTGGCGAGTAAAAAGAAATAAGAGTAGCTAATTCAGCCTTCAGTTTTGTAGGTATTTAGTTCTAAAACTTTGCAGATAATATTGTGTATTGTAGATTACTATTTTTTTGTGAGGGTGGTCAGGAAATTTTGAAGCAGCAGATGTGGCAAGATAGTAAAAGAAAAAATAATACGCTATAAAAAGGAACCAAATGGAGTTTATTTTGGATAAATGCTTGTAAATGGATGGAAATATTATATTCACTTTATAAGGTATTTCTCCCGCCTTCTTAGCTTGCCTTCGTAGTGTAGTGGTCAGCACCATCGGGCTATTCGAGAGGCACTTGGTTCGAGTCCCTGCAAAGGCGTTGCTCATTTTTCATCTCTCCTGCTCCCAAAAAAACTTAATGTCTCTACAATGGCCCCTGAACTAAAAATGGTGGTAGATGATGATGCTCTACCATCTGGATTTGGCGATTGGGTACCGTAATCCCCAGTCGCCTTTCTAAAGGGGGAGTATATAAGGTATTTCTCCTGCCTTCTTAGCGTGTCTTTATAGTGAAGTGGTCAGCACACTCGGCGCGTATTCGAAAGGCCCGTGGTTCGAGTCCTCGCGAAGGCATTGCTCATTTCTCATCTCTCCTGATTCGAAATAACCTAATGTCTCTACAACGTAACATCATATAAGAAAATTTCAAGCAGATCATAATGATTCATAATTTGAATTCCTGTTTTACTTATTTTGTTGTCATAAGTTTGATATATCTATTCCTGTATTCAGGATATATATATTAAACTACGATGACTTCATAATTTTAACTTGATGAAAAGAATGAAATTTCTATAACATATTTATTAAAAAAAAAGTATGCATCACAGAGTGTACACTGAATTGGTGGGAGAAAATATTGTTTAAAAAAAATTGAACTTTTACATTAAAACTGTTTAATGTCATTACAAAAATAACATATTTACATTTGTTCAACACAACATTTTCACATAGTACTTTTACAGTTTTGAAGACAGATCAGATGATAAATAAGATTTACTTAAATGCATCTACATTATCCAGAACTTTTCTTACAAACATAATTTTTTGTACAGCAACAATTTTGCTAAATGCATTTCAAATCTACAGATAGATAAGTATGAGATGTTTAAAATAAAATATTACAACCTGAATTGTGCTAGTGTGAATTATGCACCTAAATTATTACACAAACCATAAGTAGTACAACACAAAACAGACTGCCTTCATAATTATTAATGAAGCTAATAGTGAGAGTATAATGCCAAATATGATGATGAAAAATTAAAATGATGATGATGTCTTTCACTGATGCACTTTATGTGCAGTAAGCTCTGCTTTACTCCATCAGAAACACTTAATCAAAACAGTCTGTCATTGGTTATTTAAATTTCAGTAGGATTAAATTAAAATCATAAGCTATCACTAATTAACTGCTTCACTATTCATCACTGAAACTTGTAATGATAATCATATTTCGAAATTTAATGCATTTTAACTCGGTGCAAATTGTGGTCTACACTAATAATGATTAAATATATATTATTATAAAAATTAAGAATTTGATATTACTGAGATTAGATTCTAAAATAATAAAAATAATTAAAATCTAAATTAAAACAATATGAAATTTGTAATAAGAATTTCTATTTCAACTTGACGCAGGCATATTTCTAGTAAACTGAAATTGAAGTACATGGCACAAAAAAGTTTCATTTTATGTAAATTTTCAAATAAAGTTAAATTTTAAACATTTGCTGCAAACTTTTAGGTTACAAAAATTAGCAGCATGAGAATTTAATATTTTTCAGATTACTAACTTCAATTATCAGTTTTATTTTATAAGATTTCCTTAAACGATATGATGTACATATCAAGTAAAGTAAAATATTTTCAAGTTTGAATGGAAACTTTCCTTTTGTTGGATCTTTAAAGCTGTGATGAAATTCTGAATATAGAAATCTTAAAGCTTCATTTGAAATTAAAGACTTTCTGGATACATAAGAAGAACGTTTAATTTCATCTTGTTATTTTTGAGAAATCAGTTACTGACATATTAAAGAATTCAATTACATGTATCGCTCCTGTTGCATTATTTAAAGTCATTTCTCTAAGAGAAATTAATGGACGATAGCATTTTCTTTCAGGATTTCATTGTTGTTAGGTACTAAACCTGGTAAACTATTTTCTACATGCGATACACCATTCTTAAAAGAAGTTAGTATTTCTCACTCCTTCCTAACTCGTATTTATTAAGTCTTGTGGACGGATAGTTCTGCTGTTGGAAAATTAAGTTGTCGGAATGCTATCACATGAGTATAACGAAGTTCTCACAATGTACCCATCCTTTTTTTATTTGGCAGGCAAGCATGCGTGGCGCGAATCAGCATTCCACAACCTTATGTCCATAAATCCAACACCTACAAAGTCAGTAGCTGAAAGACAGCTCATTTTTGTCTTTATATCCTTGAGTTGTAATGGTTATGATGACCATTTGAAAGAATGGAGCCTCCAGAGCTTTTGTGCAATGGCTCTTTGCTGGAATGTTGCGAGTACCTGCTGCCTGGTCTAGAATGGACAATAGCATAATGATCACTGGCATTGCTGACTGAACGAGCAGTAGAATTGAGAGTAGATCCTCCAGACATGTAACTTGGTTTATGCAAGGAGCTTCGGGAACCGTAGTGAGAGCCCGATACCCATCCGACACGGTAAGGATCATAATCATCCATCTCAGATGGTTCTTTATCAACTACCTGTAAAAAAATGATAAATTAAACATAAGCAATTCAATGCATAGAAACGAACCACATATACTATAAGTTATTTCTCCCACTTCCCTAGCATGCCTTCGTGGTGTAACGGTAGCACGCTGGGCCGATATTCCAGAGGTCCGTGGTTAGATTCCCGGCGAAGGCGGTTGCATATTTTTATATTTTCTGTTCCAATTAACCTAATGATTCTCAAGTGGCGCCCCGAACTAAAAGGGTTGTGGATGATGATTCCGCACCCAGATTTGGCGACTAGGTCCCTAAAACCCTAGTAGCCCTTTAAAAAAGGGGGTATATAAGGTATTTCTCCACTTTCTCCCACGAACCGTGGTTCGATTCCCGGCGAAGGCGATTGCTTATTTTTCATCTTTTCTGCTTCCAATTAACCTTATGACTATACTATAAGTTTAAGAGTTGAGAACAATACAACACTTTTGAGTTTAAAACACAGAAATAAATGATTGCTTAAAATCTTTCCAAAGAAGTGCTTCTTTAATATTTCCCCCTTAATTATTTAAACACCGTCAAGACTATCAATTAATTACCAGCATATGTCACAAGCCGTTGCTAAACGGCTGACATTTCAAACCACGGCCACTTCTAGTTCGCCTGTCACGCGAAAAGCTCTGTGTAAGCTGAGTGTTATATTTCTCTTGTAAGCTGTGTAAGCTGAGTGTTATATTTCTGATAAGCTAAGTAAGCTCTGTGTAAGCTGAGTGTTATATTTCTGGTAAGCTGAGTAAGCTCTGTGTAAGCTGAGTGTTATATTTCTATTGTATTTTCTTTTTTCTAAAAAACTGTTCCTAATTTTGAATTTTCTAAAATCAAATATTGCTTGTCCTGGTGATTAAATTTCCATATTGAATAATACAATACTCGCATTCTTCGAAACAGTTTTCTAAATTTGGCCGAAAAATCTTGCGTTTCATTTGGAAATAGGCACTGAAAAAACGTATAATTCAGTAATTCACTTTTCGATAATTCTAAGAATTTTGCAAGTAAAGATATGAAAAAGCTTATTAAAGCATATTGAATATTTCATTAATTGCACAGAAAGCGAATTTACTGAAGGAAGTTGTACAGGAATCATGAAAAATTAGAATTTACATTTACTGAGTTCTGATTTAAAGGCTGAAACTGCTATCATAAAAGTCTTATTTCGAAAACTTATTTTATCTTCTTACTGTGTTTGTGCTCCTATTTCGTGAACTTTTATAAGTAGAAATACATGTATATAATAATAATTATATACAGAAACAAAGACTGAAACCGAGTTTTTCTGATACCAATACATGATTAATTTCCAATATTTACTTAATATACTGCGTTCGTAATTTCATTAGTTCAAATTTTGATATGAAAAGTATGAAAATATCCATACTTAACACGGAAGTATGGATTCGCCGCTAATATGCAAATGCAGCGAATCAAATTTCTTCTTTGATAATTTTACTTTTACATGAAAACTGATAAAAATGTCAACAGTTTTTAAAACAAAAGGAAAAGAAAAAAGAAATAAATTAGAAAATTCCTCTTCTTGGGCTTTTTAAGAGTTGAGAATTTTGTATCGCAATGGGATCAAAATAAATAAGCATTATTAAAAAAAAATAAATAAATAAAAAGACACAGAAAAAATAACAGATTATATGGGAAAAGGAAATATATTTTAAATAAACTATACTTTTATTTAAATTTTTAATATTTTATTGTAAATAATTAAAATACATTTGACATAAAACTTATAGATAAATACATTACATTTATGCTCACCTCAGTTTTTGTACATGTGCAGGTGAGTGAGGAACACAGGAATATATTGACTATAAGCATGACAAGAAGTAAAATGGCAAGGCAAATGCAGAGTCCTATCAACCAAGGAAATCGCCATTCCGTGCAACTTTCCAATGATTCTGCCACTGAAATAAAACATTAGATGTAACTCATACATTAGATAAAAACAAAATTTTTGAGCCATGCAAAAATAAAGCACCATTTCTCATATTTCATAAAGTAATTGACCCATTTAAATGGTCTTAGAAATGGATGCCAAAGGATACAGAATTTTCAGTCAAAGATGGCAGTTTATCAGAAGCCTCAAAGCGCGTATATGAAATTCAACATGAAAGCACACGAAGAGAAAGGTTTTGGTTTGAGTTAAAAGTTTCAGTTCCCAATTATTACGAAATCAGCGCATGTAAAATGGAATGATGTAAAAATGTAAAATATAAAAAATACGATGGATTTCGTCTGCGCGAACAGGCAACCTATAATTAACTTTCCGCAATTTTAGGATCTTTCCCAAGACCAGTACTTTCGAGAACATTCTGGCATGTTATATAACCGCTGGCATAAACACAGAGTACGCGCCATTTTTCGTCACACTGCTTTCTTCTACTGCTGCTACCAGACCTTGCTGCTGCTCTTCCCATCTGTCTTCTTTTTGTTACAGCAGTTACGATGTAGAAAGCCTAAATTTAATCTCACTTAGTTTAAATCACTATCGAATATGAAATTTGGAGAATTTCATACAAAGGAAAAATGATATGCAGTGAGAATTGAATAAAGATGTGTAATCTAAAAAGCTAAAGTCTTCTTTGCCGTCATTTTGGAGCCTTCCACTCAGCCACAACAATGTCCAGACTTTAATGTAGTTACATCGCCAAGCTTTGTTATTCCGGTGCCTGTCTGCCAAAATATTACATGTGTGTGTGTGTAAGGTAAAAAAAACTGGTAATTTAAAATTATAGCTCCGTAATTCCTCATTTTAATTTGCGTAACCCCCTGCTTCTGTTCCATATTGTTTATAACAAGTTTTTCTGAACAATGTCTTTCTAAATCAGTCCATTTCATGCTTGGCTTAAATAATTCTGAAATGCGGACAGCTCTCATACAACCAGATTAAAGAAACTGCTATTCTACTATTCCGCAAGACTTTTTTTTTCTGTTTCATCTGCTGCTAGGCACGCATAGTTTACTGCTTGCTTCGTTCTTTGCCTGAAAAGATGTAATCTGTATACATTGTGCGGTGCATAGCGCACCCATAAATAATGATATATGAATCTACTCATGCCTATCAAGGCTTACTCTATTAAGAGAATAAAATTACGCTGAATCAACGGCCACATCTCAAAACTTTTCTTCTCGGTTCTGTCATCTCAGATATCCGCACAGCTGTTTTCCTAACCTCAAGATATCTTCAGAATTTATATTAGGTATATATATATATATATATATATATATATATATATATATATACATACCTATATATATATATATATATATATACACGCGCACACACACATAAGATGCCTAAAATATGTAGCAATAAAATTTTAGGAGAGGTAGGGCAAATTATAAGATTTGAGAATTGCAAGGCAACCCATGACCGAAAACGTCAGGGGTAAGTGGTAGCTGAGACAGAAGATCGGAAAGGACACAAGAGACAGGTTGTTATGAAACATTTGAAAAATTTGACCGTCATTGATACAAATGGCGTATGTGATGAATGCAGTTCTACTGCTACAACAGATGATCGAAGTTTGCATCATCAGACGCCAAGCATGGCTGACGCCGACGGAACATTAATTGCCAGACACGGTCAAATGAACCGGGAACTTTTTTAATTGTAGCAGCAGCGCAGACGAGTCTTGCCATGAGATCCATTTCAGACTCCACAGGATTGTGATACACGATAGCATTGAAGGCTTTCCACAAAAGGAAATTAAGGTTCGATAAATCAGGTGAGCGTGGGGGTCAGGGTACCGATCCACCACGCCCAGACTATAGATGAGAGAATGACCTGTTCAAATGTCTGCGAACAGAAAGTTCAAAATGAGCAGACGCTCCATCATCTTCGAACCATAATGTTGCACCTCACATTTGCTGAAACATGGACAAGTAAGCCGGAGAAAATTTGCTTCAGAAAGATCCGATGATTCGCGGGTGTTCATACGGGATGGTAAAAGGTACGGCCTGCCTAAACGTCGTCGACCAAATCTGTTCACACATTTACTGCTAACCGATGTTGTGCTGAGTGTTGCCGCACATCTCTTAAGCCCACAAATGCGCGTTGTCCTGATTAAGTACGCAGTTACTTTGAATGTGGCCTCATCAGTGAACAATACATAAACTGGGAAATTTACTTCTCAGACAATTTGTTGCAGATGCTACACATATCAGCAAATGTTTAGAGATTCTTTCTATTTCAGTCCAAAACGTCCATAAAAATAATGAAGTATGAAAGGTACCGATGCTTTCAAATGGATTGTATTAGAAAAAGCGATTCTGATCTACTATGTTTGAATTAAACAAAGAGTTTTACTTACGTATGGGATCCCCAGGTTGAAGGACGAAAACTGAAGTTGACGCCATCAACTGGCCATCATCTGTGCCATTCCGAATTCGCGGTAAGGCTCTGGGTAAAGGCTCAGAGCCTTTACGACATGGACCCTAAATGGAAAAAGGGAAAAAACATTGAAACATTTGCTTCATGTAATATATTTTGGTACTTTCCTGTTGAAGCGGCCACTGCGTTTAATTGGCAAATTTAACCGCTCATTGCGAAACGTGCTAATTTCAAATGCTGTCAAAAGATTATGCGACGGCCGCTTTAACAAGAAAGTATCTACATTTGGATTATTTAGAAAAATAATTTATATCTATGAAATAAAACGTATGCGAGAAGAAAATAATCCTTTTTTAAAATTCAATATATAAATATTTGCTATTTCCGAATCTTAACCATCAATATGTTTATTCAAACGAGTCCTAGATAGTCCTAGATATTAAGCAAATTAAGCTTTGATAAATTAAGCTTTGACATATTTTATGGTGCTTTAGACGTTAAAAAAAGTAAAAATATCACATATACATATATTAGTTTAAATTTTCTTTGAGAGCAAAAACAAAGGCGGACGTATTCGATGCGTTTTAAGACTAAATATTTATAAATAATAGCTAAAATATTATAAATTATCTAATTTGTACTTAATTCACTCTTTACAACGTTAAATATTCTTTCAGGTCGTAAGAAATGCATTATTAGGTTTATTACATACTGGCCCCAAAGATAAAATTCCAGGGGCCACATATAATCAATATAAGGTTCAAAAACCTGTTAACAATATATATGTAAATCTATGCTAAACAGTATTTTAAAGTATATAATTGAATAAATGTCTCAAAAAATTCCTGAAATATATATGCTTTTTCTTAAGGAAACTTCAGAAAAAGCATACATATTTCAGGAATTTTTTTAATTCTCTTAATTATGTCTTTCCACAAATACATTAATTAAATTAATACGATAATTCATTAAAATACAAAATATAAAATAAATAATTTATTTAATTAATAAAGTAATTTATTAATTAAAGACATTAATTAAACGAAACAGATTAATTCAACATTACCAACCTAATGCATAGACAGGTCACGTTCTAATCTCTTGTCACAATTTTTCAAGCTGTGTCGCCAATGCTTTTGGATCCCATAATTTTGAAAATAATCCATTGCTTGCTGTTCTGGCAGATTCCAAACTTTAAGCTATTCGGGGGTACATCAAATGAAAGCGCTAATATAATGAGCGTACTGTTACGTCACACGTTTGCGTAATTGGAACTGCTTGGTGACAGTTTCACGATCAACGTCATAATACTTAAGTCCCCATTTTACATATAATTTTTACATATTTCTTTACCTCTTCAAATAATTTAGTTTTCGCATTCCAAAACGTGAAATTTCTGCATTCTCCAGCATCACCAACAAAGGTAAGGTTGTGCGAAAGATAGTGATGTCATCTACATCTGATTCCTGCTATAAGTTATCTACCATAATTAGTTATCTACGATCTATTATTAGTTAGACCAATGATCTCGTCTGACCTTTCAACATTTTTTTACACCGAAATTCAAATAAATGGTATTTTTCTTATTTTAAAAAGGCTTAATCTATGAGAGCGAAATGTGTTAGCTTAATCTAAAACAAATAAGGAATTCATACAAAAATTGAAATTTTTATTTATACTCGTTAAGAAGAACTAATAAAGTTTTAGGCTTTGCTTTACTCAGAACATAATTTTTATAAATATAGATGAAATTATTTTATATCATCTATTTTACGATCTCATACTTCTCAACATTTTTAACAAATATGAGTTAAATATCTAAGATACTCACTTGTTCGCAGGCACCCTTGCACAAGACCACATCACACTGTACGTGAACCCTGTTGCTATCCGGAAATTTAAAAATAGCGGATAAGTCAGAATTCGCTGAATGCGTAGTGTCGTTATAACGGAATGCCGTTAAAAACCGCGTAAGTGGACACCTTAAAGGGAGAAAATTCACAGCACTTTATTAGTAAGGATATTAAAATAACAAAAAAGAAATACATAAATTATTAGGTTAAAACTCAGGGTGCATTCCTCTAATATACGCTAAAAGACTTTGTATTACTTGAGGTCATTTTTAGCACATTTTAAATAATGACAAGTTATCATATAGTTTAACGGGAACAAAAAGTTAAATCATTCTCTTTAAAAAATTCATTTACAATTTTACATCACAAATAATATAAGTGTAGGGGGTGCTCTTGATAAATTTACAATGTTTTACTTATTTGACAATGCAATTCGATTAACAGATTTAATTATTTGTTTACCCGCTCTTTTATTATTTCTGATATAGAACTGCAGATGAATTTTGTAAAGGTGAATTATTTAAATTCTTGATCCCATTAAAATATACGATATTTATTTTTCCTTTTGTAGCTCATTCATTATTTTGTGAGTTTTAAATAAAAGCTTTATTTTTGTAAAAAAAAAATATTATTTTTCATTTTTATTCTAAATGATACGTTATTATTGAGATTCAAATCCAATAATTTAAATGAAAAATCCTTTTCAACAACGAATAATCATCCCTTTTCTCCCAGCAATTCTGTTCCGTGAAAGGATTGAAAAAACTGTGCGACATTCCAAAATTCGGAAAAGAAAAATCAGAAATTATGTTAAAAATTTTACATAAATTTCACTTAAAAATAATTTTCCCTCTCTAGCCAAAGTTGCTTAACAGTAAAGTTCTGAGATTCAACTTTAAAAGCTTTCTAAATGGAATTTTGAAAAAAATCGTTTCTTCACATTGTACTAAAGCAGCTTAATCTCGAAAATAAATTCATTTGGTTGCATAAATGAAATATATGGAAAATGCTTAACTGTGTTCAATCGAACCAAATTATATGATAGTTCAAACCATTTCGCTATTACTTATTAACATGGAAACTCTCCGGCAGTGCCGATGAGGGCTTAATGTTTGAACTGCTTATCATAACCAATGATGCCGTTTCGAAGATTTTATAGACAAATAGCCTTCGAAAGTAGTCATATAGTAGGGAGAAGAGCCCTGATCGCACCGAGAAATAGGCTGCCATCTGCATCGTATAGACACAGCTGTGTAGAGGTGTTAGCAAGAAAGGTTGCTGCAAAGCATTCATCGGCGAAATCAAAGCTCTGGAAGGCGAAGGTGCACGAATGTGAGGCAAGATCGGATGATTGTGTGACAAGCCTGAACTGCCTCAATGGCAACATTGTCCGCTATCCAGCGTGCTACAGCCTCTTCCATACCAGCAGTAGCACCTTTCATCATTTTACGGCGCTTGGTTGAGGAGGGGTTGCGGTCATAGCGACCTTTAAGTCTTCTCTCTTTAACCCCATAACATCGACAGAGTCGTCTGGAGTAGTTTCGTAGCCGATCATCATGACTGCCAGCCGAATGGAATCGCATAGTGTTCAGCAATGAATTCGGCTTCAGACTTGAAGCAGATGACCATCGGGACCGTGTGTGAAGGGTCGGCTATCTCAATCAGTATTTGTTTTACTGAGCCATTAGCCCTAGTGTGGTACTGTGGTGGGCTATCTCTTACGACAGCAAGGCGGCCCTAGTCATCCTGCATATAACTTAAACAGCTCAACGATTTGATGAGGACATATTGCAACCGTTTGCGTTACCCTTTATGATACACACATACTGCAGCCAACAGGGTAATGCCAAACTTCGTACGGCTCGCATATCTCTGAATCGTCGGCCAGTAAAATCACCCTACCTTTCGCCAATCAAGCATGTATGGGATATGTTAGGTAGCAACCCCAAGATGTCGCAGATCTGAAGCAACAGTTGAGGAATGCTTGGCAGTATGTATCGCAGGAAGGGATTAGGAAGCTTTATCATTCTTTGCCTCGACATTTACAACCATGCATCGCCGTCATGGAGGTTTCATCAATTACTGATTTGAAAATTCAACGTGCAAATGCTATGCTGATGGCTCCTATCGCCTTGAATTTTTAGTCATTTCATTACCTGTGTACAAGCTTTATGTATATATAATTTCAATGAAAACACTTTCTTCATGGTTCTTCTTTCTTCCGCTCCCAAAAGGGAGTATTTTCTAACAGGCTTTTTTATCATCATCATATTACTTATCGCAGAGTTCAAACTACACTATCTGAAAGTAATAACCGAGCAATTTTTTTTTAACTAAAAGGAAAAGTTTTTCCAAAAAAAAGACAAATTTTTAAACTAAATTTAAAATTTTATTTATTAAATATTTATCAAAACATACAAAAATAGTAATAATAATGATTCAGACGAAAATATTTCAATTAATATTTATTTTCTGTCTGAAATCTAAAGGTTGGAATCTGTGAGAAATTTCTCTTGCGTGCATTTTATAATTCAAACGCATTGAAAGCTTAAATTTTCATACTGACATTTTTTCTGGGGAGTTAAGCAGGTTCATTTTTAATAGTAATGAAAATAACGTAAAACTGAACTAAAAATTATCAAATTCTTAAACCTCTCCTCAGATTCTTGACATAATGTCAAGCTAATGCTAGTTAATTTATAGGAAACGTATTCGGGGGAAAGGGCATAAAATTCTTTTGGGGGCCGCTGCTCTGAAACCACTGTCTTAAAATATTAAATCTCACAACATGATTTCCCTAAAACAAACAAAGCTCCTGCAATTTCATTTTTCACTTAGAGAAAAGTTTGAAATGCTCAGAAGTTGTTTAGGAAATCGATGCAAAATATCTGTTCTTTGTTGCACCAATTTCTAATACACAATCCAGTACTTTATTTTTATTCATATGAAATTAAATTTAGTTCTTAGTTTGTGAAGTTTGTAAAATTTGCGCTTGTAAAATTTCGGAATTATGTTTTTGCACTATTTTTCAGTTCAGGAATAATAATAGCTGTGCAGTATAGTAAGCTAACCTCGGTATTCGACAATAATATTAACAAGTAAATAAACTACTATACAAAGAAGGAGATAAATTAATTTCGAAATTTGTATAACCGACGTTAATTAAGCTTTATAATTTATTTGTATCGCTAAATTTCAGTCCAATCACTCTGCAACGCTCCATTAGCCAAGCTATGCTAATCTCAGCATCGTTACTCAAAACGAATATATTAACGATGACCAAATTAAGGCTGGTCGCGACAGAAGAACAGAAACAGATCAGTTCGTACCAAAACGAACACAGAACAACATATAATATTTGATAACAAAGACCCACTACCCTTATTGCACACTTCCGAGCTTTATTTTAAATGAAAAATTGGTAACAATACAATTGCAAGCGCAAAAGCACTGATATGAGCTACATACTCAGTGGCGTATCTATATAAAATGGCGTTCGTGGCAAGAATTTAAATTGCTCCTCCTTTAAAATATTTAAAATTATGTTTTCCTCTCTTTGATCTGATTTCAGGGACACAAATGCGCTAAATGAAGCCCCTGCCAGTGGCGCCTTAGCACATGCCCTATCCACCATACTCTAGATACGCCACTGTTTAAACTACTATATATTTCGAACTATTTAGGCTTATGACTGAAAAAGTAAGATACCCATAGATCTCGCGGGTGAGTAAATTCTTTCTATCAGAATTGATTGTCAAAGTCAACATCCACGTAAATGGTAAGGTTGCATTAATTAATTAAGACAAAAAACACGAGGATTATCTACTTAAGAGTAGTGATGCCTTTATGGAAAATTTTCTATACCAGCCATGACATATGCAATCGCCATTTTCTCCATGATTATTATTCATAGCCTTTTGATAGAAGTTCAATAACAACAGCAATGCATTTAATCTCATTTGAGACAACATGAAAAGGGAGAAAATGTTGCTAAATGATTGTTCTTAAATTCTATATCATCAGAATATGAACAAAATATAATTATGCCAAGAAATAGCAATTAAATTAGAAGATGATATAAAAGACATTTTCCGTCTAAGAATTAATAAATTTTTGTTCAATTAATTAACAGGAAGTATTCTCAACTATTACATAAAATATACTCTTTTATTATCTCAATACTTATCTACCCATTTAAATCCACCCACTTATCTACCATGTTAAAAGTTTTCAAATCAACAACAGAATGTTCGACTTACCCATTTGAATCTATGAGTAAAACTTCAGAGTTATTTGGTGCAAAACTGAGGCAAGAGCGAACTTTCAGTTTGTGGATATCTATGCAAATGAAAAAGAAATACATTAGTAAGTAAATTTGCCATACAATTTTAATGAAGCGCGTCGAAATTTAATATAAGTTTGTATATTACTTACTATCTGGTTTTGTCATCGCTGCTCTGAGTTCATAATTTTGGTTATATATAAGCTCTTGAACTCTTTTACCATTCTGATAGAAGTTCAAAGTGACCCTTGAAGTCTCATTCCTAAAATTAAAATTTCAAGTTACCATCATCATTGTAATTATTACTACAGTCAACTCCCAATCAACCTTCCAAGGATCATGACGATAAAGTTCCACGCAGTTTTCGAATTCGTGTCACATATAATATTCTGCCCTTGCTTGGTGGAGCCGATTTGTTTTCAATCGATTTTTTCTGACACACGCTTTTATTCGTTGATATCATTACATTCTACACTGAAGTGACAAAAGTCATGGGATACCTCATAATATTTTGTCGGTCCTCCTTTTGCCCGGCGAAGTGCAGCAACTCGACGTGGCATGGACTCATTAAGTCGTTGAAAGTCCCCTGCAGGAATATTGAGCCATGTCCCATAAATGTTCGATGGGATTCATGTCGGGCGATCTAGGTGGCCAGATTATTTGCTGGAATTGTCCAGAATGTTCTTCTAACCAATCGCGAACAATTGTGGCCCGGTGACATGGCGCATTGTCATCCATAAAACTCCCATCGTTGTTTGAGTACGTGAAGTCCATGAATGGCTGTAAGTGATCTCCAAGTAGCTGAAGGTATCCATTTCCAGTCAATGATCGGTTCAGTTGCACCAGAGGACCGAGTCCACGCCATGTAAAAACAGCCCAGACCATTATGTAACCACCACCAGCTTGAACAGTGCCTTGTTGACAACTTGGGTCCATGGCTTCGTGGGGTCTGCGCCACACTCGAACCCTACCATCAGCTCTTACCAACAGAAATCGTGACTCATCTGACCAAGCCACGGTTTTCCATTCGTTTAGGGACCAACCCATATGCTCACGAGCCCACGAGAGTCGCTGCAGGCGATGTCGTGCTGTCATTAAAGGCACTCGAGTCGGTCTTCTGCTGGCATAGCCCAAGGAAGACAAATTTCGCCGCACTGTCCTATCGGACGCGTCCCTCGTACGTCCTACATTGATTTCTGCGGTTATTTGACGCAGTGTTGCTTGTCTGTGAACATTGACAACTCTACGCAGACGTCGCTGGTCTCGGTCGTTAAGTGCAGGTGGTCGGCCACTGCGCTGTCCATGGTGGGATGTTATGCCTGAAATTAGATACTCTCGGCGCACTCTTGACACTGTGGATCTCGGAATGTTGAATTCCCTAACGATATCCGAAATGGAATGACCCATGCGTCTAGCTCCAACTACCATTCCGCGTTCAAAGTCTGTTAATTCTCGTCATGCGGCCATAATCACGTCAAAGCCTCTTCACATGAATAACTTGAACACAAATGAAAGCCCTGCCAAAGCACTTCGCATTTATACATTTTCTACGCGATACTACTGCCATCTGTATATTTGCATATTGCTATCCCATGACTTTTGTCACTTCAGTGTATACTCTTTTCCCTTTCCCGACTTTCTATTGGGCTTACTTGGTAGTGGAAAAATAGCAATCGTTAGAAAAGGTTAAACGGGGTGAATTAGCTAGGCCCTATGAAAAAAACTAACTTTTTATATGGAATGATGGAAAGATTATTATTACATGCCATCAGCGAAAACCAAAACTGGCTAGGGGGGAAAGAAATAACAGCAATGATATCTATTGATGTCTTTGCCCCCCCCAAAATAACAAAATCTTATAACTGACGTTTTTATATGAGTTTGAACTCAAAGATATTGTTCAGGTTTAATTGCAAATATTGTTCTTTAATATGATTTATAATTTAGCTTCTTCATTTCTAATGACGCTTATTCTTCCATTATTTTCCGTGAGTTTTTAATTTGCTTTTATTAGTTTAAAAGGGCTAGTTATCTCAAAGCACGATTTTGTGTTGTTTCATTTTTAATTCGCGTCTGTTACCATTCGGAAAAAAAAAATTAAGATGTTATTCTTTTATGTTCACTTGTCTCTTATTAAATACAAAAACTAAAGTAATTAAAAGTAATCGATGCAGTACTTAAGAATATTATTTTAAATTTTCGAATATGATTGATTTAAATAAAAATGCATTTAATTCATGATATATCTAATTACGAACATTAAATATCGGGTTGTAAAGAAAGTTTCCAGCCACCACAAATATCGTCTGCGCAAACATTTCTCGTTGGCGTGTTTAATCCTTATTTTGTCAAAACATTTTTGACATTTGAAAGAAAGAGACTTGCTTTAGAACACGGTGAAATTTGAAAAAATATATCGTTAACATTAAGTACAATGTGTCTGAAATGGAACTATTAAGCTACCAGATTAGAACCATCATTTACTTCCAATTCTGTTGCAAATCGTCAGCTACAGAATGTCACCAAATCATGTGTAAAGCTTTAGGTACTAATGTTGTATCATATGAAACTGCGAATGTTTGGTACCGAAAGTTCAAAAACAAGTACTATGATATTAAAGAGGCATAGCGTTCTGGCCGGCCTGCTGATGTTGATGAGGTCCGCCTACGAGAACTTGTGGAAGACGATCAGTAATGTAACCACTCGAGAGTTTGCTAAGGAGTTAGACGTTAGTGGCATGTCCATTAGTCGCGCTTTGCATCCTATAAACTTGACGTACAATTTCACTCGTTGGGTTCCGCATGAGTTGACTGAAGCAGATGAGAAAAGACGTGTTCGGGCCTGCACTAATCTGCTCGAATATTAACGCAAGGACAATATTCTGGATCGGGTCTTCACTTGTGATGAAAAGTGGATTTACTTCAACAACACAGATCGAAAAGGGGTTGGTTTGCGCCCGGTGAGCCCATCGGCAGCGTAGCAAAGCGCAAACTGACTAATAAAAGATCATGCTTTGTGTCTGGTGAGATTGGCGTGGTATTATCCGCAAAGAATACCTGGAAAAAGGTCAAACCCTCGGCAGTAAGGTGTACAGCGAGATGCTGGTCCGCGTCGACGCTTTTGTCAAGGAAAAAACGTCGAACTGAGTTCCGGCGCAAAAAGGTAATGTTCCATCAAGATAATACAAGACCATCTGTATCTGCATTTACTGGCTGGACTCTGTACGGACTCGAATGGGATCTTTTGCCGCATATAGCTCTGACATTACTCCTTCGGATTTATACATTTTTTCACACCTGCAACTGCATCTTGGTGGTGCTATCTTCCATTCTGCACAGGACGTCCGAAATGAGGTTGACCTGTTTTTGGACTCGTGGCCACCAAGTTTCTGAGTCGAAAAACTACCAAAACCTTGGCAGGAAATTATAGATTTGGATGGTGATTACTAACCGCACTAAATACACTGTTTTCATTTTTTTTATGGGCGGAAAACTTTCGTTAGAACCAGATATTTTTATAGAATTACATTACAGATTTTTTTTTCACTTTTTAAATAATCAGAAGACATATAAGATGTTAAGACATATAAGACATCCGACGTTAGTCGAAATGTATATTCATCTAATATCCTATAAAATGCTTCTCTACTCCACTTTAGCCATTTTTTATCGATTATCTTTACTGACAAGACATATTAAACTTTAAAACAGACCTTTTGAGGATCGTTAAAATCTGAATCCCTTCAGATTTATTTTCTTTCTTGCTTGCTTTTGCTTTGAATATTGACTTGTCAGTATTTTTGCTTTGAATATCAGTATTTTAGTAACTGTTTATTTGCCAGTAATGGTTTGACTCGTCAGTATTTTTGCTTTGAATACTGACGTGTCATTTTACCAACAACCAGCGATTAATCGCCAAGCTTGGCTGTGTTTTTTCCCCAAATGGTATAGCAAACCAAAAACCATGTAATAAGATTTGTGATTCCTTACACATTTATGTTATTATTATTATTATTATTTTGTTGTTGTTCGTAAGAAATCCAACTCCCCTGCTCCCGGATGCAAAATGATTGGATAACAGTTTTCAGTTTATCATCAAGTGAAACTAAAGCTATTGCATTCTTCCAAGAAAAGGAGTATTTTCGGTCCCACCACCACGAATTCCCGAAAACAGACATAAATACATCTTTTTTTTTTTTTTTTTTTTTTTTTTTAAGTAGGAATTTGTATTTTTGGAAATAAATTAAAGGAAGTCTTTTTTTAATGTTTCAGAAAGTTAATCATTGATACATTGAGCTGAGGAAGGTCTTTGGATTTGGGGAAACTTCACATCAACAGAAACAAATGGTGTTATATCTTCTAAGAACACAGAATGGGAGTTCATTTGAAGTTCGAAGGCTTTTATATGTGGATTATTTTTCAAATTTATTTCAAGTTTGAAAATCACAATTGGACAAAAAAACAGTTTTGTTATTTAAAAGCGTTTTTCTATCATTTATTAGTCCAAAGGTGCTTTGTCCCTGAAGGACTATTGTTTTCGTTTTGCGATTTTGCATCAAATCGCTATAAACGGCGTATCACTTTTCAAATTGTTGCCACCAAATGATAGAATCCTGCATTATATTTGAAGAAATTAAATAATGAAGAATTTGCCTAAATGTACGTATGTTTCTTGCATTGTGATAAAACAACGGTACCTAGAGCCATCCAATTTTGAATAACGTAATTCTACTGCGAATATGGGCATCTGAAAGTTCAAACTTGAAATTTAGAATTTGTTTTATTATCGATTTCCTATTTGTAAAACTTTAACGAATTTTTGATTAACAAACTCAAGGATTTAAAAGCGAGCAATGAGAACACTCAATCGGGGGGAGGAATCTTTTTATCTCTAAATCGAAAATTCTAAAGATATGCTCCTTTAAAAATTATTTTGCGACATTGCTGTTGAATTGAATTTTATGGTTTAGGTGCAAAGAACATGATATAACACAAAATGTTAAAAAAACATAACTTTGGATGTAATTTAAAACCTGAAACCTTTCAGTTTTTTATTTGTTTCTTTATTTTTATTTATTTTTATTTATTTATATTTTATTTTTTAAACTTATTTTGATCTTTATTTATATATTTATTATATGCCTCTAAATTTGGCGAATTTTTTCCCTTGGCGCTTGATTGCCGGTAAAACCGATAAGTACCCTGATTTAATTTACAAAATCAAACAAACTTTCTTCAGATTAAATTGCTTGAAAACAGAAGTAAATAGTTAATAGTCCTTTTCTCTTAATTATAATGAGTTATTCCTCTTATTTTTTTAATCTCTTCGGATTAATCATGATAACTACACATTGTTCCCGATGTTATACCGGTTAATCAGGCGTTGACTTTATATTTAAAATAACAAAATAATATGCTTCAGAGGTATATCTCTTTCCATCTATAAAACTATGTTTTTATTGCTGATATATCTTACCTAGCAACTCTTACGTTAAAAGTATAAATATTTAAAAATAATTACCTGGCGTTTCTAAATCCAGCTTTACCACACCTGAGGAAAAAATATTTGTCTTCAGAAAGTTCTAAAGTTGGATGAACTCTCACAGCTAAAGCGACAATAATGTCCCCCGAATTCGGCTGCCAATAAACAAACAAACAAATAAATAAAAAATCAAATAAATAATAAAATTAGTTAAAGCGTAGGAAATGTATATTATTATATTTCTTTTATAAATAATAATAATAATTGTTTTACAATATGATAACAGATTATGTATGGCATATGCTTATTAAAAACCTAATTCGAGACTAGCAATCTGTCTGAGAAATGAAAATTTAGAAAGATTGAAATGAAAATTTAAAAATTTCCTTTATGATATTATATCACATTTTCATTCTCATTACTAAAGAAATTAATAAAATTGATCAAGCTGCTGTTTACAAAGTTAACAGAAGTCGTCTGAGTAGGTCATTTGAGGTCATAGTAGGTCGTTTATAAAGGTAAAGCGATGCTTGCCCACGAAGGTTACTGCACTAGCTGTACCCTTCGCGAAAGACTTTGGTTATTATTTTTATGACACATGTAAAAGCCGATTAAGCATTCTGAACACAGTGCTCGTTCAGGTGTCCTCAACGCCTACTTCTACTAGAGAAAAAACACGATTATGGAACAAATAGATGTGTTTATTGTGTGAGAATGATTTGGGGGCCTTCGAAAACCTGGGGCTCCAAGCCCATGCCTTGCGGGCTTAAACAGTAATGAGGCTTTCATTGGTGAATGCAAACTATTCGCCTATTTCCTAAGTCCACATTGGTATCGTAACCAAAGCAGGGACTTTTAAAATAGACAAATTACTACTTAAGAAAGCCTACCAGTGGCCAAATGGTAAAAGTCGCTAAACAATGATAGTTCGGTCCAGGGTTCAAATTCAAGCGAAAGGGCTGGTTGGTTTTCGTGGCTTTCTCCATGTGTAGTATAAATGCGAGCCAGTTTCCTTTAGAAAGCCTCTAAGAAGTAAGAAGGCATGCTTCTCCTTAGATCGGTAGCTTTCGAGTGTTTTGCCGTAATGAAATAAACCAAATCAAACGAAACCAAACCAAACCCTCTTACTGTTGGGATCTGCTATTATCATACTGAAATATCATCTCTGAAATTGTTGTGGGTTTCATATATGTGTGTCTTGACACTAAAACTATTGTTTATACTTTTTAAATCGTATTTGTTTTCATAGTCACCTCAAAATTTTGTGCATGAATTCTGCCATAGTCATGATTTTTAGATGAAATCTTTTAACAATATTTTCGCTTTATATGTTTATGTAATCATAAATATTTCATTCCCCAAGATAGACCATACTCTTTGTGGATTGTCGTCGTTGTTTACGGAAAGTGACTAAAACTGAAAGTTAGCCGTAAAAATCATTCGTATACCTTCGATATGTGTTATATTCATCTACAAATATTCTTCACGTTTAAATATTTTGCAGAGAAAATTGGTGCTCAAAATGCTCTGAATATTCTTTCTTTAAGTATGGCAAAGATCAGAATGTGTAGTAAACTTGTAGAGTCATTAGGCTTATTTTGGAGCAGGAAACATAAAAAAAATCAGCAATTCATCAAAAAATCATCAAGATTCGAATTCTGAATATCCCGATTGCCAGGTGGACATGCTTTCAATTATACCATGAATGAGCATCTCAAAGGTAGGGAAAATTCCTTACAAGCTTTGAAAGCGCACCAAAACTCACGTAACATAAGGAAAAAATATATCGGAACGCGATTGGGCCGTCCTAGAAATCCTTCCCTTAGTGTGCGCTTAAAGCTGCTATCAGACAGCCATTCATTTCAGACGGACAACTGTTTCAAACAATAGTTCTACTTGCTTTAATGTTGACAAAGAGAAAAATTGTAAGTTGTTCCTTTTCAATAACCAATCAGCTATCAACATCGAATCCTCTACCATCAGCTATCACTTTCATTGAAAAAATAATTTTCCCTTTACGTGATTATCTCAAGCTGATCCGTGGTGACTGGCTGCTTTACATCATGTGACAAAGCAGAAAAAGTGTATTAAACCGCTGTTCTTCCCGAATGTTTTTAATGTGTGATACTAATGCAAATCGTTTTCTGAAAACAAAATTGCCTTAATTTAAGTTAATTTTCAAGTCTTCCTGTTTATAATAATCAGGTAACTAATTCCTTGTACAGAAAAACAAAGCTCGTTTTTCTGTTTAATATATTGGCAAAAGGTAGTTGTACTCCCTTGAAGTTGGGAAGGATGGGATTTCCGGCTTCGGGGCGGCCGATGTCTGACTTTGTGACTTGGCCTCCTTGGGTTGACCAAGGGGAATGTCGCCCTTTTGGATGACCTCTTGGAGGTTGGGGTGTTCTTAATCGTGTAAGGCGGCCTCGAGTCTGCCAGGTTCACTGTTTAATAATATTAGTAATCGGACTTAAATTAGTAATTTTGCAAATAATTACTTTCCAGATGATACTAAGATACTAGGATTATTATATCCGCAATCATTTTAAACAAATACTAAAGTATTATTTATACTAGAAAGTTATTCATATTAGAAGATGAATGTTCAGAATACCAAGATTTGCTGCAAAATAATTTGCCTTACATATCAGGGCGGATTTAACTAAGATAAATAGTCATTCAGTATGACTAGCGCAACGGTTCTCCTCCCCTCTATCACTCCCTTAACTTTCAATCATGTGTTTTACCAATTAAGATTAAAACTAATAATAATAATAAGTTAATAATAATAATAATAATAATAATGCAGCTTTTCTCAAGGAAAGCATTGGCATTTCCCCTTCTCTATCCAAACTCAAAATTCGTCATTGCGTTTGTTCTCAAAAATATTTCCAGAAAATTATCAATTACAACAAGACGAAACTTTCTCAGGAAGTTAAAACTCACATCGCGTAATTTATATTGCAATCAAGGAATTCGCGTAAAATATTATCATGCACGAGATTAGAACTGAAGTAACATGGATTTAAAATGCAAGAGTCTGGCAACTAGTCAGTTTTAAAATCCTAAAAATATCCCCCATCCATAATGAAATCGCTAAAATATAGCAGATATTTGACAGTAAAGGCGGTTTTTGTTGCTACCCAAAAGCACAAAAACCAAGGATCTAGGAATTCAAACAAACTCATACAAATAATCAGCTCATACAAAAGACATGTATGAGCTGATTACGCATAACAAGGAGCTAGATGCTAAACGACTGTGCGTTACGTTAAATGCATTCAGACGCATCATATGATTGCCGACCAGTATCAAACTCCTGAAGCTGCTGAATGCTGCCACCTTGGAGGGATCTACCCAGTTGAGAATGCTGCAAATTTTCAAACAAAAATATCATTCAAAATCGTATACTGGGAAGCCCATGTCATCGATTATTCAGCTCTAAATTTTAGTGATTATTTTGACTGTCAGCCAGATTTCTGCCTTTCTTTCCATAGTATACTTAAGCTAAACGAAAACGGTAACCAAAATTAATGGCAGTATTCTTTTACATAATTCTTACTCTTCAAGTCTGGCTACTAACGTCGGCTCAATAACAGAAGCATTTGGTAAGCGTCACTATTAAAAATTATCAGAAATTTTAAAAATACCATGCACATGAAATTAAAACTACTAAGTGCCCATAGGACAGCTAATCGGTGGGGTTGATAATAAATAATTTACATTAATTTATCTTGTATTCTGTTGCTCTCTCTGCTAAGTACTCTTTATCTTTACTCTCTTTATACTAGTTACGTCCGAAGTCGTACACTCCTCTAACTTTTCAAAAATGTCTAATTTTTTTCACGAGGTATTAAGGTTTGGTCCGATTATCAGTATTATTAAGGCATGAATCGAGGTCAATACTTCCAATACTAACCGAGCTCTTTGCAATCTTCAGAACCAGAAAATACCACTTCTCGTTAAATGATCTGGAGGAAAGTGGACTTCGATTTAAAATTATTGCAAAGTTTTTCTTCAAAAACTGCAATGTATTCAGGGAGGAAATTTACTTATTATATAAAGTATCAGATTTATTATGAAGTCTGATTACATTCACAATGTGTATGATGAATAAAAAAAATATCAAAATTGTGATGTATTATTGAAGGAAATATAAATTACAGTTGAAGACAAATTAAAAAATTTAATAACGCTAAAGTTTAAAATCAAAACATTCTAATCTTATTATGATATAATAAAAAATTTCTGTCAAGGAACTTAAGAAATCAGATTTAAATATGGCAAATTTCACGCTGACTATCAGACTAGTAAAAGGATGCTTTGGTGAAGAATTTTTTAAGAGAAATTATCTCTTATTCACGTAGCACCTGCATAAGACCAAGAAAACAAAACATGCAGCTAGCTTGCTCGTCTCGGCTCAAACCCGGGTCGAACTAGCAGTATTTAGCGGGCCTTAAGAACTCGGTTATTGTTGGGGACCTTCACTAAGAAATCATTAAGACATAATTAAGATCTGTCAATCATGGTTCAAAAAGAAGCAAATTTTAATAATAATAATAATAATAATAATAATAAAATAAACCCCTGCGCTGTTATTTTATAGGAACCAGTTAAGTACGAGTGTAATCAAAATTAAGTACTTTAACCCATATCTACTGATAATTGATAAAGATGTAACTCTGATAGCCCACTGGTACAATGTATTAGGCTTGTCACATGAATCAGCAATAGATTTGCTTCTATTGCTTACTAACGTTTTGTTAAGTAAATAAGACAGGAAACTTTATGACAGAAAAACACATCCATACACATAAAAATATGCATCTCCATAAACTACGTTCTCGGAAAAAGAGATAGTTTCGGGTCCCTATAAAATGGCAATAATTTTTGCTTCCGACGGTCCTTTGTTTTGGTCACCGCCAAGGTCTTTCAACAAAAGCATTCCTGCATGACTTCATCAAACGACCTTGGTTCTTGGTGCTGTGGACAGCGAAATATACTCGTACCTCATCAAAGACTTCCGAAATTACAAATGCATACACGGGCGACGAACTATCCAAGCGTGATAGGAATTTTGATTTCAGAAAAAAATTCCCTAAGGCATAAAAAACTTTTGTCAACACTCATCATTTCGCTTTCTGTTGTTTCCTGG